CTACAGGTAAAAGAGATCTCACAAAGCTATATTAAGTAACTAGGTCTCCATTACTGGAGAGGTCAACGCAGATAGAATCGATAAAGGATTACAAATGAAAAATAGATGTGAAGTACATGGAACATAAGATTCGCAGAAATGAACGCCAACTCTTCGACAAAAACAGAAGTCTTGAAGGCTATAAGGTTTCTCAAAGCTGATTAGGCAGTAGAACCGGCAAGATTACGTTCATGTCACTACTGCAGAAAGTGTGGAGCTAAATTAAGGCACCTGAAGATTGAAATAAAGGCTAACTTGCTGGACTGTCAAAGAGGGGAGGAACGATTTCAGTTTATGCAAGAACTGCGTGTACTAATGCTGCTTTTCATAACAACAGAATATTGGGCCGCATCTTCCTGGGAAGACTAAATGACACTCGGGGTTGAATTCAGCCAACAAAAGTCACTCGAGGGAAGAACTGTAACATTGTGCATCATTACCGAAACAGTCACTGAGTGTTAGTCAAGTCCTTACCTCAACTTGATCAGCTGTGAAAAGGATTTCAGCTGTGTTGATGGTGAAGTAATTTGCATACTGCTTCAACACTTCTAAGTACAGTGCTGAAAACCTCTTTAGATCTCACTAAAAACATTCATTTCACATGCCAAGGGATTCACAAAGATTTTGATGTGATTGTGTTCTCTGAGCTGGATAGTTGATTTGCGCAAATCAAAAGAGAACAGAACCACACTAAAATCATTCAGCTGAGCTACAAATCTTCTCTATCATATCTAATTCACAAAGAAAAAGACAGACAATCTTTTGGAGTAAAGACGGGAGTAATACAAGTCTACTTGCTATCAATAATGGTCCTTCTAACTGTGGGGGGCAATCATGTCGCAGTCCGTGACGAGTGAAAAGATGAAAAGACCCCCAGATGACCTGAATTTTGCGGGCTAATTCTGCCACATCTCGCAAAAATCAATAGGTTAGCAGAAGAGAAGGCGAAGACAACACTTCAGGTGAACACATAGAAAAGACAGTAGTGATGAATATCCCCGAGTGCAGACAGCAATAAGCACCAATCGTCTTTTTCACGTACTTCGACAGCACGTCTTCAAATACAAACAGCATGGATCACGAAAGTCAAAATCGGCTAGGAATGGATTGAGAAGGTAAGATAGGCGTTTATTACTCTGGAATCTTTGTGGAAGTGAATATCACAAAGATTAAGATCCATAACTTTAACAATAAGGCCTTACCACTACTCGCACATGTTTAAGAAACTACACGCGTCACGGAAAGCGTTTCCAATAGGCTTTAAACTTTCACCAACAGCTACCTTCCCTAGATACTGAATATCAGAGAGCCGATTAGAAATGGTAAGCGACAAGGAAATCTGATAGCCAACCGGCTAACCGCCTATTTTTTCTAACAGAAATATGCAGAAGGAGCTGGAGATGGATTAGACATATGTCAAGAAAGCCGGTAAGTGACATCATGCGTGAGGCCCTCGAGTGGAACTCGAATTGGTAACAATGAGTTAGACGTACAAGGGTGGAGATCATTTTCAAAGGCAATCATGAAACCATTATTGAATTGAATTTTTGATTTTCCCGTCGACTGATTGGACCGAAGTGCTGGGTCTCAGGTTGACATGTCGGCTTCTTGTGCAGATGCTTCGACGATGTCTGGGCACTTAATTAGTATACAACTGGTGGATGGTGGCTAGCAGTGGAATCCAGGATGCACATTTCGTCCTATTTGAAACTCGTCAGCTGGATGTACCTGCATTTCTCAGTGAGTGATGACGTTCCCGCCAAAGCTCGAACCCAGTACCCATAGTTTCAAACGCCCAGACATCGTCGAAGCATCTGCACAAGAAGCCGACATGTCAACCTGAGACCGAGCACTTCGGTCCAAACAATCGACGGGAAAATCAAAAATTCAATTCAATAATTAATATGACCCGTTGCACAAGAGGTGGCTCTCGTGGCCCAAGTGGTCTAGTTGATAACGCTTTGGCGTTTGAAACTATGGGTACTGGGTTCGAGCCTCGGTGGGAACGTCATCACTCACTGAGAAATGCAGGTACATCCAGCTGACGAGTCTCAAATAGGACGAAATGTGCATCCTGGATTCCACTGCTAGCCACCATCCACCAATTGTATACTAATCATGAAACCATCTAAAAAGACAGTAGAGAATTTACTGCATTAGTGTTGCGTTTCTGAATCCCCATGTTCTACACGCAACATATGAAGGAATAATAACGAGTAGCTTTAACGCTTTTTGGAGAGGACAGAAAGCAATTTAATGCACAAATCCAATCTGTGAGCTTGTCCTACACTAGGAGAACGCACCGCAACGTTTATTCTGTACTTAAAGAAGGTCATAAATGCAACACGTTCATATTATATCATAGAATATTGTTCAGAAGATGCTGATAATATCCAGGCTTTTTCATTTACTTCCTATTGTGTGATGAAGAATAGCACTTATATTTAATGTCTATCATAATTCCAACAAAATACGTTTCATAGAAAAGTTTGCTAAAAATTAAACTTCCACAGTACGAATTAGTGAGTCTTTAGGACAGAGGAGTTAAACTGAATTTAGCTCCATTTTTCGAAGCATCTCATCATAAATAGTGGTAAGTTAATGTTGGACAAAACAATAATCGAAGTTTTTGATTGCAACACGACAACAAAATTAACCTTAATGTACTTAAAACGGTATTTAACATCTTTAATTATTTATTTATTTATTTTTGATTACAGCTTGATTTCACACCGTATTTTTGGTACAAGTATGGAATTTTTAGCGTGGATATCGGTAGCCCGAAATTCGCAGGCCTACCATAGATATCAGGTGTGCGTCGGCGTGGGCTCGAACCCCGGACCATGTGCATGGTCGGCGAGAGCCCTAACCACTGTGCCACCGACGCTAGCCTAAGAATTTAAGGCTCATAATTAACTATTTTAAAATTCGTTTTTCTGCTTTCATTCATTTTTCTCTTCCATTTCTTAATAATATGCCCGAATTTGTAAATGAAGCGGGTATTTTAAGTTTGATAACAAACTGACTTCAGTTATAAAACCTTTGGAAACCAGGGAGTACTGGACATCTGTTGTTTAGGACCATCAAGCAGTTCACACCCACGACTCCACTCCTAGCTGTCGTCTTCAGATCAATCAAATCCTTGCAGACCAACAACCTGAAATGTAACCTTGTACTCACCAGTGACTGACTACGTGTTAAAGTTGCCTGAAGTTCCACTGGGAAGTCGTAATCAGTGAAGTTCATCAAATTGTGTGTGAAGACAAATACACTCCGATCACATGGACTGACCGTCGAACTACATATCGCGAATTGCAAGAAGCTAGATTTCATGATCTACTAGATTTCGCCTCAGTGGCTGAACGGCCAATGAGCTTAGTCTGTGGCGCGAAGGTCTTGGATTCAATCCCTGTTGAGGTCTTGTCTGCCTACTGCTAAAAATTCCCAAACAAAGACGAAAAACTTGTCCAATACATCCGGTTTCTAAATGTTCTCTAATTGAGGTGGGTTAGTGATCAGTTTTATGATTTCTTAATTTAACACATAGTGATAGAGCTGTGCTAACTAGATGATTACCTACTTCTTGGATAACTGTGCTGAGGAATGATTCTGTGAACTTTAACTTCACTGATTATATTGTATACTTCATATACCTGACTCCAGAAGATTTGAACTTGTCTGATGTCACACTAACTCGAATATCTATAGGTGAAAACCAACAAGTTGACAGAAGAAGCAGCGAAGAAAAAATGCCTAATGAATATAAGGAAGATGGGGGGGGTGATGAGGACAAATAACGAACAAACACAACAAGCATGAACCTTTATCACTTGAATGAGTTTGAAGAAGGTCAGCTTTTCAACGTATCTAAGCAACATCATCACAGTTACAGACACCCAGCGCAGATGCGAATGTGAAACCCAAAATCAGAATGGTAAAACAGACTTTCATTAATCTTAAATCACTGTCGGAATCTTCTGCACTACCCTCCACAAAAACCTCAAAATTCGGATTTCCAGCACCAATTTGAAATCAGTCAGTGTTTATGTAGGGGTCAGAAACTTGGCACATTGGTGAACAAATACATTTTGAATAGACTGGTTCAGACTTCAATCAACAGCTGCCTTCACTGGCTTCATACTGAAGATCGATTCGTAAGCCAGAAGGAATTAACACTAAGGACTTTGTTAGTTGAAAAAATTAATCAAAGACCTATTGCCCAACATATATTCCGAAGAGAATGGAAATGAATGGACACCGAGGAGATCGTCAATGACATCGCTCAGCAGGTCATCGCTGTAGTGGAACCTGGATGGGAAACGACAAGCAGGAAATCATTTTATGAGTGTCATGAAGGAGATCGTATGGAGAGGGCCTGAGAGCTTATAAATATTCGTGTAGTCTGCTGAAGATGTCCTCAGAGAAGTCCCCTATTCTACCCGGAACCGAAGGGATATTATATATATATAAATATATGTAACGATTCACTGCCTATAAAACACCTCGAATTAATCTTACAAATAAAACTGTGTCAATTCTATTGATTATTCCAACACTTTACCATAATTTGTCATCTAAAATTTAGCTGTATAGAAGTTTCTACAGAAAGAAAGAAAGAATAAGAATCGGGCATAAAACTGCTTTCATTTTAATAACGCCAACAGCTTGTATCGTCATTTCAATTTCAAACAAATACAATAGCTGTAAACTAAAAAAAAGTAGATTAACAAATAAATGAATGACTGATTACATTGACAACTGAATAAAGTATAAATATTTGAATTAAACAACAAATTTATTGAAAATTTACTCGTTTGTTTATCTGATATTTCTGGATTATATGAGAAGTAGTCAATTGTCATTGGAGGAAAAAACAGATAAAACCTGGATTTCAGGTGTACAATCTGAATAACTATACACTTATTTCTTTTAACAATACATTTTCATCTCATCTTATCACTTCAGTATTTTGGTGTTTTCCATAATAAATAACACTTTTGACCTAGTTTAAATTGCAATGAATGCTCCGGCTGATGTGAATATGAAATCCAATAGGATCCATCGACAATGACAACATGCCATGAAGGATCAAATGTTTTATCAAGCCATTGTTTTAATCCCCTGGATAAATCTTGTTCTGACATTTTACTGTCCAGCATTTGTCGAACTTGATCAAATATCTGGTATTGATCTTCAAGTGGCATATTTTGTGAAATGATTTGTAAATCCGGTGGGAGTGGTTTCTTATTGACTACACTCTTGCGTAGGTTACGTCTAAAAGAAATACAGTTACATATATATATGCAATATACAATTTGATGACAATAAAACAAGACAGAAATAATAAGTTAGTAAACAAGCCGGCCTATTCAAGTATTATGCAAAAATAATTGGAATTTTCGTGGTAAGTTGTAAGTGATGAAGTTGGAAACGAACCATGCGGCCTGTTTAAAACTTGGGCTGCCATCATTATTGGGTATATAATTGTCCTTGTTCATTTTGTTTTAATTGATTAAAATATGATCTCTAATAGTGTTTCCTACTTTCGCGGGTATTTAAAATGTTTACAACCTGCTGATTCAATGCACAAGTTCCCAAATAGCATGAGAAAAAGCATAATCGTGATCGGGTGGTAACGTATTCCAATACAACTGTTCCTGAGTAACATCCTTGGTTCTCAAAATGAACTCCTGAACTTCTTATAATTGTTTTTTAAACTAGCGTCGTGCATTTCTCCAAGGAGATAAAGAAGAGATATGATAATGGATCGATTTGTCCTTCAGATCAGAAAGCAATGTGTCACACCGTCTACTATCGGTTAGTATTTCATCTGAAGATCTTGAACAAAGAGAAACTATTATGCAATAAGCTCCACTGAAATTTCTGTACATTGTGTATATATAAGCAAGTTGATGCTTACTCGTGATTGTTAAGAACAGACAGAGGCCACATCCATCAACTAGTAGTCAAACTGAGATGAAATAAGCATCGGACAACCGTTTCGCCTGTTTGAGGTCAAGCTCATCAGTGGTGGTAACATGACTGGACCAATTGATCCTTCCATCTGCGTTCGGCAAACTTAATTCATTTGTTTATCGTCGAACTATCAACATTCACTATAGTTTTTCATTACGATTATTAATTACCGTTCGTCTCTTATGAACGCATGAATCAGCAAAGAAATAACAACTTTTCGTAACTTTATTTCAATGGTGTATAGTTATTTAGGGGATCTACATATGTAATTTAAGTTGAAAATGGAGGTCAAAGGTCATCGCCATTTAGTAACAAAGTGAATCAAAGTGTACGAGTAATAAATAACCAAGTCTGAAAAACTGTGAGTAATCTTGCGTAATCAAGAGGGTTGACAACTATTTAGTTGAATGATGAATAGTCATTTAGAAGTAGTCGATGAGAAATAAGAGTAGAAAGGACCGAAAATGATTTACAAAAAATATAAAGCGGACTAAATATGGCTTATTATACTGTTAATGAAGATAACAAAGAAGGCAGAAAAAACAGTACCAAGAAGCCGGATTCAACATCTCTGAACACAAAGTTCAGGTTCCCTCTCATGAATTGCTGAGCCTTCGGCTGCATGAGAAAGATGTAGCCGAAACAAATTAAAACGATTTTCAAGTATTGATTTGTAGGGATTTGATTGACTGGTTACAGGATTTCATCATGAGCCCACTGGCTCTATTCAGGTAAGTAGTTACCTGGGCTTCTAGTGGGATGTCGTCACGAGTAGGGTGCAGCACGTCGAGCGTTAGGACAAATACTCACCGAAGACATTCGCTAGCGGTCTCTCTGTGTCATGAATCGGCAGAAATTGGAATTCATGGACTGGCGATTGGATTAGGTCCCAGTGGCTTAACGGTCTACGAGCTAGCTCTCCTTGTAATCAGAAGGTCCTGTGTTTGAACCGGGGCGGTAGGTGCGTATCGCTGTCCAGTACTCTCTGCAGGTTTTCCAATGGTTCTCTAGCCAATGTCAGCTCTTGATGAAATCCTGTAACCAAATTCTAACGATTTCATCACACTTTATATACGACTCTGAAAGAAGTCTCCGCTGATGCTGCATGACGAGAAGTAATAATATGCTCAAGAATTGGGCTGTTGACTGTTCCATGTTCTTCTTTTGATAAACATACTGGTATGTGTTCCTGGGCACATCTGGACAATGTCCTCCTGGTACAGCCTAAGTACTTAAGTCAACAGGAGCAAGTGAACTGGGAAATGAGCACTGAAGCTTATGTGGACTTCGTTAAGTGGAATGATTTGCGTCTCTGTCTGCATTAGCCACTAATTATGACCGACTAATTGAGAATAACTGCATCCTGAACTTGTTCTGATTTGAACAAATTTCAAAGTAAGGAGGAGGAGAATGGCTTAAGAGAAATGGTTCGTATAAATAGATGGCAGAATAAACAGAATAAAACGATGAGACAATTTACGTCATAAAACAACTGAAAACATATTGCTTAGTCATTCAAAACACCTGGGTAAGGTTAAACGCCGTCGCAAATCAAACGCACCGCGCTTTCGTTTCAGTATACTTCTATAAACAGAATAGAGGCGATCAATTACGACCTGAATTACCTTGAATTACGCAGCTAAAATATTTATTGTGACATTTGCCATACTATTCGCGAAAACACCTCGTGATACTCCTTATTCTCACTCAAAGAAATAATATTTATTAGTGAACTGGCATTTGGAAACATTTATTCTTCTGTATTTGAGTATCCTTGAAACATGTTTTATGCTGACAGCCGATGAAACCTTTTAGATTTGAAGAAAGACTATATATATCTATATATTTCTTTGAGTGGCAGCAATACTGTTTAGGAGATGAGGTTGCTAGCCTCACACCTTACCTTCACTGTTTAATGGGCTTGTATAAAATTTAGCAATGCATCAGCCAAGAATCGAACACCGGACCACCTGAGTGGTTGGCGAAAACTCTACCACTGAGCATATATGTGAATGTTATCCAATGCGTTTATAGAACTATTTTATAACTTATTGGTTCAGGAGACTCAAATGCCAGAAAGCAGTGCATCAAGTAAAATCTGATTCTATAAAAAAATCTAAGAAAACTTACGCCTGTTCAGGTTTTACGCCAAGTACATCACAGAATTTTTGAAAAGTTATTATACCAGTGTTTCCAGGATCGAATAGAGTTTGCCATCTCTTTATAAAAAGAACAATAAAGATAAACTAACAGAAATATCTTTGAAGACATTAGGCATTAGAAATGTGCATCCTAAGATGCTTTTAAAAGTAAAACTATCAGTTGTTTACTAATCTTTCTTCCTCCGTTCAGAATGTGTCAATTGTGCTTAGCTTTCAACCAGATTATTGACTTCTCCTGTAGACATAAACGCGGTATACGAGGACTGGTTAGTACACATGATGCTTGTAGCATAGAGGGGACTGTAACAGAAACTAAGTCTAGGTTTTATCCTATGATCTTACTTGGTCATCCCATATTTTGTCTATTTCCAAGAAAATATTCCGTATAAACTATTACATTAAGAAGCTAAGACAAGCTGGAATCATTCAGCCTGTACTTTTACAGTTTGTTAACTTGTGTATCTTACCTATTGTACTTTACTGCTCCCCCTTGACGCTTGCTGGGCTACTGAAAAAGGTCTATGCTATTTTGAGAAAACGTTTCAGGGTTCTCAGTAGGGCAAGTAATGTGCAACTTAGTCAGCTTGTCACTACATCAGCTGATAGACATCTGAACTCATGTGAGAAATGGACAGGCTAAATCTATTTGTCTGATCCTCAGCATCCTCTCTATTCTCACTCTCCCCTTGTATCAGATATGGTAGAACTAGAAGTCAGTACAATAGAGTATATGCTCGTACTATCAAGTATAGGAACTCAACGATACCATATTTGACCCGTGTTCTCTGAGACAGGGACTGTGTTAAACGCGAAACTTAGGAATTACCATGTTGTAAACAAAATAATTAGCTCTTTATTATCTCTTATTTATAATGTATGGTGACGCTACCTCAATTAACTGACTATCTTAGCTACTAACCTTCTTATTATTTACATTTTTTTGTATAAATGACTTCCCTGTCATTGCGAATATCAAATAAGAACTGCCATTAACAATCCTGTAATATTATCTTTATAAGTGTTTTTAATATTATCCCATTAAATTAGATGCAATATTGTACCAAACGTGGCGAATTCCACACTGTAACATTAGTATTGTTTTGGAATAAAGTGAATTATTGATAATATTGAAGCATTATACTACGTCGAATGCATTGATAAGTCTTTGTAGCCCACTATTTCGCTTTCAGAATACCTTAAAATACGTGAGCAATTCATTTGGATATGAAACATGACTGTTGAGCGTTAAAGTTATAGACAAAATCAGACATGATGCTTTCATGAAAAGAAAATAATTGCAACTTTCTGTGTCATTTACTGAATATCACTAAATACCCTAAATAATGAACTAACTAATTGCAGTGCTACAGGACCTTATTTACCACCCCTTGAGACAGTAATCTCTACTTTTAAACTTTCTGAATGAATACAAATAAACACAAAACTCATTTTCAGTGTAATTTTTAGTCAATGACCTCCAACCACTTTTTCAATAATCACCATGCGCCATTACATCAGTCGCTCTAACTTAATGGTTAATTTGCAAATATGTCATCAAACATCTAGGCAAAGCAGACATGCGTGTGCAGATTCTGCATCTAATGACTAGGAAAACATTTTTTGTACTCAAGGATCAGACTTCAACAAATATATTGTCATATTATTATCATTATTCCCCAGAGGCTTCAACAGTTTATCTCCATTTCACTGTGTTCTCTAAATCCCTCTTTAACTGTCTCTACAAGTGCCCATACACACTCCTCTCCTCCTTACATGATCTCTTCCATGTCATCCCCGAACCAACACTCAACTAGTCGTTACTAATTCATCTTACACTCCAGCAATGACCTTGTGAACTATGTTAGTCATCCATCTCCATTTTCGTCCCCAGAGTCTCGTGTTGCTAATTCTTTCTGGTCAGCTACTTCATCTTCAGTATGAAGTCAGTGTAGACAGATACTGATAGAAGTTTGCAGTATTTATTAATGTATCCTTTAGTTCCTAGAGGAACATAGGGCTTCAGCTGCGCACCTCCATTGCCTTCGGTTTTCTGACAACTTTTTCACCCTGCTCCAGGTATGTCCACATGCTTTCATCTCCTCCCCGCATGACCTCCTCGAAGTCACCCTTGGACGACCAACTCGCCGCCTCCCTTTCGGGTTCCACTCGAGGGCTTGTCTAGTGATGTCACTTGATGGTTTCCTCAGCGTATGGCCAATCCTGGACGAAATCGCCTCCCATTGTATCAGGGCTTTCGTTGCCGTTGGTGACATCATGATAGCCACGCCCTCGGTGTGCGTGTGGTTATCTTCTGGGTGACCGGAGTAGATCACTGACTCACCCGTTGACAATTCGGTGAGTTCACTCCCATTCCATCTGCTTTCACATATTCCTAGCACTTGGATTCCGTATCTTTTCATCTCGTTGGCGATCTGGGCAGCTTTCCCTGTCTCATACATAGTTCGGACGTTCCATGTTCCCACACAGACTTTTTCTTTTGGTGCAAAGAGGTTCATTATGCTGAAGGTTCTGTAGCAACTTTGTTTACAGGGTGGGGTTGCTAGCCTCACGCCTGAGAAAAGAATGATTACATTAAGTTAAAGTTTAGAGAGAAGCGACTTTTTGGGTTGCTCCCCTCAAAATCAGAAAATAACGGACAAGCAATGAGAACAACATCAACAAAGGAAACAGTTCACAGAAAAAAGGGCAAAAAGCGACGACAACTATACAATAAGACAACATGCAATATAGTTCAGCACAGTTAACTAAAATGATATCTCAACCATAAACTCACTGACTTGGAGCAACTTGAAAATGTAAATCCAACAATATATACAATTATAGATGTGTTTATGTTTAAAAATTCCACAAATCCAATTAGTTAGTTATATGTATTATCTGTCAATAAGATTGTATTTTTTGGATTCAGTGTTCGAAAGGTTAATAATTGTGATAGTTTCCGCAAACTCTTGGCATAAAATTTTACAGAAATAAGAGTTTTTATTATTAAGCAAAATGTAGCGTAGTAGTCGAAAAGCGCGCGTCGAAGTTTGCAGTGGTCTGTAGGAATTGCTTACCGTGACGCTCAACCTAAGTTTCTGCCCCACACAGAAGCACTGAATAACATAATATTGGTGTTTAAAATCTGAATTTTGTTCTTTATGCTGAAAGCAGTGCATACATTCAAACTGATTCCAGAATGATGAAGGTCTATCTCGCCTTCCAAAGCTGATTTCAATATCCCCATCTGTGCTGTCGCCTGTAGGTGAAACGATTCTGTCTGGCCAGATAAATGAAGGAAGTAACTTCTTTAAAATTTGTTGCCTTAATTATGACTGGTACTTGTTATCGTTGTTACCAATATTGTTAGTTGGTTATCTCCATCACTGGCATCTTCTCTATGTTCACTTGAGATGCTGTCTTCGCTGAGTGCTTCTTCTGCTAGTTTGTTGGTTTTAGCATGCAAAACTTCAAGTTTATGTGACATCTGATATAAATCGTCCGCCGAATCCAGATCTGCTAAGGTCACCTTGTCGGTCTTACGTGTTTCTGTCTTCTCGCTTCTCATATTCGGTGTTCCACATAACCCAGTCCACATCTAGGAATTTCACTGGCGAAAGTAGCCAGCCTTATCTTACTCCTGTCTTCACCTGAAGGACCACGCTGAGTTCTTCACTGTGAATCACTTATAAATGGTCATATTTTCCGCGAATGTTAGTTATATTGCTGTACTTTCTAAGGGATTCTTGTTTTTGATCATTTTGGAATTAATTTTTAGTGATCCTGATTATAAAAATCTAGCGATCATTTCAAAACCGAATGAAAGGAGAACTTTGTTTCTAACAGGAAATACTGAACAGTTACACAAATTAATTGTTTAATATTCAGAAATGATCGGAATTTAAATCTAGAATCATACCATTTAGTAACGAGGTGATAGAAAGATCTATGAGGAAGACTTTAGCGATTGTCTACGCAAAGATTAGAGACACTGTAAATTGCAGGTATTTACAAACATCACTGTTAATTCTGTCCAACTGACTAATCAGCCAGTTTCGTAAATTTATCATCTGGAGTAAGTACCGTTTGCTACCAATAACATAACCCTCCAGGTAATAGGGATGTCATAGCAGCGTTAAACAATCCTATAAAGCGACTACTTTAAGGAGACTTATACATAGTCATTATATAGATCAACAAGTGAAAGTGACAACCCACATAAGACCAATCAGAATTATGTCATCTAGTCAATAATTTTCGCCCAAATGTCTTGAACTTTAGGCTAAGTGTTACTCTTCAGCTAACTGAACCTGTGTTACACTAGTCTTGGCATTCTACTACCTACCATTAAGTCATGGGTTTGAACCTTGCTCCATCTACCGTGGTTTGGACAGCCAGGTGTGGCACATGGTCTATTGTATGGACCTACAATTTGTTGCTGAGAGTTGACTTACTCACTTTTCAATCATATGGTTATCATAATGAGATGATTGGATCATTATCTAACATACTTTAGTACAGTAAATATCCAAGATAGGTACAATCTTGTCAGGCCGTTACAGTTTTTAGATTTAAGAATACGGTGATAAGTTACAACTTGAAGATCAAATGATCAGAAGGCATTAGCAAGCAGAAACTGTGGCAGCGAGTGAATCAATCAAGAACTAGTAGCTCGACAAATATACAGGAGGAAATGCAGATGTATCAGACAAACAAAGAGGAGACCATGGGGCGACGTACCATGCTAGGCCAGTCCTCTATTGAAACACGAATAGAAAACCATGTGTTGGACGTGTGTTCTAGGGTGGCGTAGAGGAGATCATGTGGGGAGCAGATAACAGCTTACGGGCAATCGTAGAGTGATCTAAAGAGGACTAGTAGGAAAAGAATAACGTAGGGATTTTCTGTTTAAGCTCTATGTTCCACTAGGAACAAAAAGGAATAATGACAATAACACAACTTGAGTGTTTCATTTCAAAGATGAAAATATCAGATGTTCAGTTTTATGGTCTACCCTTTAAATACACCGTTCTTTCATTTTGCTCAACAACGGTAGA